GAAATGTGCGCTGCTTTTCGGTCTGGTTACTACCGTTTATGTCAGAACCGGTACCGGTACCCATCCCTACTTATGAGGTATAACAGTTGTTTCAGCAAGTTGGTTTTGGATGTAATTCAAGGTTTCTCAGTGTTTTGCCATGTAATGACATAAAGAGATGTTTTAATGCTTCAGTTGTCAGCAAATGCCAGAGGTTGTATGTTTTTATTCAGTCGTTCTATTCTGATAATGGAGATAACTTGAGTTTTCCTGGTCTCACAGATAAACTGATTGTCAAAGATCATGGTTACCTTCACTACACATACTTTTGGCCAATATGTTATTTGCTAATTATGAGAAGATTTAATACAAATATTTAAATGGCAGAGTGTCACCGTAGTGTGTGTGGTCTTATGTGTTAACCCTGCTTCTCCAAATAATGTGAATGTCAGGTTCTTCTAGGTCGTATTTCAGCAAAAGAAGGGAAGTCCAAATATGGTCAGATACTGAATTGATGACATTCACTCATTTTTGAAGCCCACCTTCATGTGTGCTGATTGTGGGGTTTAAGCTTCCTGTTGCCTATGTTTGTTCATACAGAATAACTGTAAATATATTTTTATTTTAAGTTATTTTTGTGGTTGTTGTGGAAATACAATAAACAGGATTAAATAATTTGATATGAAGTAAGAAAATGTGACAAAATGTGCCATTATAACTGTTGTAGGTGTGGAAATGTTCTTATATATATCAGAGAAAATGATCTAGAGGAAGATTTTCAGCTGATATAATAACTAGCTTAACTGTTACCCCTGCAGAGCCACCGACTCTGGACCTGGACTTCAGGGAAAAGCTCATGGTCAAGGTGGGAGACAACTGCATGCTGTCGGGACGCTACAGTGGCAAACCGGCCCCGGCTATCACCTGGACAAAGAATGACGAGGAGCTGAAGGCAGATGAGGACATCAGCCTCCACAGCACCACCCACCACCTCAGCCTCAACATCAGCAAGGCCAAGAGAGAACACAGCGGCCGCTATTGTGTCAGCGTGGAGAACGCTGCCGGCACTCGCTCGGGAATCTGCACCATCACTGTGGTCGGTGAGTCACAGCAAAGAGCTAATGACCTGACACAACACAAAAGTAGCATTGGTCCGAACCAACACCTAACACCAGAAATGAAGGATATGTTAATGGATGAGTGGTAAGCTGCTTGTACATGACTCAAAATCAAATCAGAGGCACTTAAAACAGTGCCTCTGTCTTTCTGAGCATTTAAGACCTAATGGCCACGTGTAGTCTGGAAAAAGTCAAGATTTTTTAGACTACTTGGATGCACAACACATCAAAATCAGACAGAAAATTAGAGCATTAAGTATACTGGAGCTGCAATATGGATCATAAGAGAGATTTAGTTCAGTTCAGTTCTTTTTTATTTCAAACATATACATTCATCAACGTTTCATAAAATCTTTCCATGCAGTTGTTTGAAAAGGAGTAGGCAGAAGTATATACTTATTTAGCCCTACCCCCTCAGGTTTACATCCTCATCATCTAAATTTGAACAACAAAAACGTTACAACGCCTTCAACTTAGAACATAACATCACAAAAAAATATTTTCTCATGTTCAACTAAAACTATATTTAGATTTGCTAATTTGCAGAAGAAAAGAAACATCAGTTTGACTGCTGTCTTGGGTTAATTACATTTTCTTCATTCTTCTACTTATTTAAAATTTCTTTTTTGAGTTTTATTTTAAACTGGTTTATATCACTGCTGACCTTTATTTCTTCTTCTAACTCGTTCCAAAATTTAACTCCTGCTATTGAAATAGAAATCCTTTTCAATGTTGTTCTAACTCTTTGTAATTTTAAATTCCACTTCCCTCTAAAATTATACCTCCCTTCTCTTTCTAAGAACCATTTACTTATTTCGATTGGGAGCATCCCTTTCCTTGCCTTATATATTATTTGCACTGTTTTAAACTTCACCAGATCCTGGAATTTTATAGCTTGCGTCCTAATAAAGAGTGCGTTACCCCTCCTGATTCATTAGTCTAGTGGCCCTTTTCTGCATTATGATTATAGTCTGAATATTGCTTTTATATGTATTTCCCCAAACCTCTACACAATAACTCATGTATGGTAATAGCAAAGCACAATATAACATATACAATGTTTTCCTATCCAGAAATTGTTTTACTTTCCCCAAGACAGCAATGCCCCGTGCTAACTTTCCCTTCACATAAGTGATGTGTGATTTCCAACAGGCCTTATGATCAATGATCACACCAAGAATTTTTTATGGCATTATGGTATATTATCAGGAAAGATGAGTGACAGATCCACATATGAGGGGCCTGAAAGGCTCTCTCTGTTCTTTTTAGATACTATAGGGAACAAAAATAAGCCAGCAATCCGAGGGCGACGTACTGTTGGGGCAATGTGCAACATATTCAACATAAGAAGAGGCCTGGTTTTTTCGAGAACTTGTATATAAGGAGGAAAGTTTTTTATTTCAATTCAATTCAATTCAATTCAATTTTATTTATATAGCGCCAAATCACAACAAAAGTCGCCTCAAGGCGCTTCATAGATACAGAGAAAAACCCAACAATCATATGACCCCCTATGAGCAGCACTTTGGCGACAGTGGGAAGGAAAAACTCCCTTTTAACAGGAAGAAACCTCCAGCAGAACCAGGCTCAGGGAGGGGCGGGGCCATCTGCTGTGATTGGTTGGGGTTTGGGGTATTTGATTCTGGGGTTAACAGGGAGCCACTGATGAGACGCTAATATGAGAACATTACAGCCTCTTTTTCTAGTTTTCTTTTCTCGTTTCTTTTGCTGCATTATTTTGGATCAAGTGAAGGCTTTTTGCGGAACTTAGAACAACCTGATAACTACAGTAACTGAGTCTAGAAGTAAAAAAGGCTTGAACTTGTTTTTTAGAATCACTCTATACTGCAGAAATACTAATGCTTTAGATATTTTCCTTTACTTAGCATGTTGAACAAGTAACTGTTTAACTGTGTAATAAATGTTACATTTGAGTAATCCAGTATTATAACCTTTTATAAGCCGAGGCGTGAAAATAAATGATCGCTGTAAATTCTTTTCCTGTCAGACCGTCCTCAGCCACCAGAGGGACCCGTAGAGTTCAACGAAGTCTACAGGAATTACATGGTGATCTCCTGGAAGCCGCCGCTGGATGACGGAGGCTGTGCTGTCTCCAACTACATCATTGAGAAGAGAGATACCAACAGAGACCTGTGGATGCCTGTCACCTCATCCTGTACCAGAACCACCTGCAGAGTGAGTAGAGATATTTTAAGCACAGAAAATGTTGGAAACAGTGACGAGAAGTGCAAATCTGGAGTTTTAGTATGCGCCTTATATGTAAGAAGATCTTGTGAAGATCTTTGATAAAAAGTTTGTTTGAAATGCCTGAATCAAGAAAATGGTACAAAGGCTTTGATTACTAATATCCTTTCAGGTGCCAAAGCTAATCGAGGGCCGGGAGTACATCATTCGTATAATGGCTCAAAACATCTATGGCATCAGTGACCCTCTTCTGTCTGCAGAGACTAAAGCTAGAGACATTTTCAGTAAGTGATATTCACAGAGAACGACACACGAAACCAGCAAGCAATCCGCTTTTGTGTTTATAAAGTAAAAACAGCATGTAATTGCATTTCATTGTGTCTATTACAGAGACACCAGATGCTCCCAAGCAGCCTCTGGTGAAGGAAGTTTACCATGACTCTGCCCTAATCAGCTGGGAGCCGCCTGCTGATGGAGGGAAACCAATCACAGGCTACATTGTGGAGAGGAAGGAGACCATGGCCAACAGGTTCATAAATAACACTAATAATTTAAGGCCCAGGCAATGTTTGTAGGTTTTTCTTCTAATTGCTTTTTCGTGTACTTACACAGCCATGACTGGCATGTCAAAGTGCACAATCCAGACTTGTAACAAGCTTGCTGATAATGTAACTACTGCTCTGTGAGTGTGTAATGTTTTACCACTGGTCTTGTGTGGTGGGCACCAGTCTGTGGGAGCTATGTCAAACTCTTTCTTCCAGTGTGTGTGTGGCCTCATAAACTCTGATGCCACAGTCAGCCCAATGCCTAATAAATCAAGCTTTTTAGAAAACTGAGATTAAACTTGTTGCAACACAGCGGTGTGGTAGTTAGCTCTGTCACCCCAGAGCAAGAAGGACCCAGGTTTGAGTTTATTTGCCTGCCTTGTCTTATTTATATTTATATAAATGCATTCTTACAAACAAATTGTTAGACTTAATCTGAATTTTCATTTCATTTCATTCAATTTCAGCGTTTTCAGTGGGAGAAACTCATCCAAGAAGTCACCTTGATGAGCAAGGAAATATTTCTCCAACTGAAAACGCATCGTCAAGATGAACAACATCAACTTAGCTGACATGCATCAAGACATCAGCCTTTATGTTTCTCCTCTCAGGTGGGTTCGCTGCAACACGGAAAGAATCCATCCTAAGGTGGAGTATTGGGTGACCGACCTCCTGAAAGGCTGCGAGTACGAGTTCAGGGTCAGTGCTGAGAATGAAGTGGGAGCTGGAGACCCAAGCCCACCATCGAAACCGGTCTTTGCCAAAGATCCCATTGGTGAGTTGTTCTCTTACAATTACACTCCATGTTAGTATTAGTGGATGTAAATGCAGCACAAGAATATTCCTTCTTCTTCTCCCTAGTGAAACCTAGTCCGCCAGTGAATCTAAAGGCTATCGACTTCACCAAGGAGTCAGTTACGCTGTCATGGGAGCCACCTACCGACACTGGCAGAGGAAAAATCTTTGGATACTTGCTGGAGTTCCAGGCAGCTGGAAAGGAGGAATGGCTCAAGGTGAGGAAGTTACCTTGTGCCACTGAGGCGAGAGATATAACATGTAGACAACCCCTACAACTACATTTAACCTTTTAATTTCTTCAATTCAATTCTGTTTCTTTCTTTCTTTCTTTCTTTTTTATTTCTTTCTTTCTTTCTTATTTCTTTCTTTCTTTTTT